ACACACACACACACACACACACACACACACACACACACACACACTACTGAAAAACCAGCCAGCGTTAATCATCTCATTTACTGAACATCAAGGTACAGAACAGGTAATAGGTAGTTTTTGTTCTTTGGATTTTAGGCTTTGGCTTGTTCTGCAGCCATCCCCAGACTTACTGACCTTCTTGAGAAAGTCATAAAAGAAGGCCTGGCCCCTGAAAGGATAACTGTCAGGCTTTGGTAAGAGGACACAGTTAAGCTTTCTTCGTAATGCTTATTCTGACTAAATTTGCTCAGCCTCAAATATCATACTTGCTTGCTCTCTTCTTTTCCTGAATAGAGGAGGCAGAGGCAGGTGGATCTCTGGGAGTTCGAGGCCAGCCTGGTCTATAAGAGCTAGTTCCAGGACAGGCACCAAAGCTACAGAGAAACCCTGTCTCGAAAAACCAAAAAGAAGAAGAAGAAGAAGAAGAAGAAGAAGAAGAAGAAGAAGAAGAAGAAGAAGAAGAAGAAGAAGAAGAAGAAGAAGAAGAAGACAGCCATGAGATTTCTTTTACTACAGGGACTAGAACCCCCTCCCCCAATGGCTTTCCTCAGGAGAATGAGAAGGAAAGGGAAGGCTGAGGACAAGAGCTTGTCCACTAGATCAACACCTCGGTGCAGAGGCTACTTGCCCTTGAGTCTCACAGATCTCCTTACTGGTTATACTGCCAATCATATTTCCATTTTGAACGTGCAATTGTACTCAGTACCTATTGCAATTGTCTAATAAATTTGAAATGTACAAAATACAATATAATTCTTACTTAATATTCCTTTAGTTTAAGTCTTTCCTGAGTTATTGTTTTCAGGCTCAAAATATTCTATCTAATTTTGTCTTTCTTTTTCGATTAAATTAATCTTATACAAAAAGGCAAGTTTTTATTTATTTATTTTGAAACAGGGTCTCACTATGTAGCCCTGGATGACCTGGAATTCACTATGTTGAATTTCATGTTGGCCTGGAATTCCATGTTGGCCTCAAACTTGAAAAGATTTGCTTGCCTCTGCCTCATGAATGCTGGGATAGGGTATGTGCCACCGTGCCTGGACCTAAAAACAGATTTTTAAAAACCCTAACATCTGAGCCCATGAAGTCACAGCCATTTCAAGCTCATGCGTACAACAGCCCTGTCATGTCCAGCAAATACTGTCTCACTACACGTGTCCACTACCTCTCACTCTTACAAGCCCTTAGCTCCTCTTCAGTGATCTCTGAACCTTGTGGACAGAGGAGGTATAAAATAGACATCCCGTTTACAGCTTGAGCGTTCTACAGTATCATGTTCCATGTTTGCTGACCAGTCGTGGGTTCCTGTATTAACAACCATCTACTGCAAAAAGAGATTTCTTGGATGAGGGTTAAGAGGTACACTGATGTATGGGCATAAAGACAAAAACTTAGGGGATAGTTGAACGCTATGTCCGTTTAGTAGAATGATAGTATTAGAATTTTTTTAATTGGCTCTCACTGTGTACCCCTGGCTGACCTAGAACTCACTACGTTGACCAGGTTGGCCTCAAACTCATAGAGATCCACCTGCCTCCTAAGTGCTGGGATTAAGCTTTCTTCAGCCTCTTTTACACTCTATCTGAAAGCAAAGATTTTACCACCCTTCCTTCTACAAAACTCTTTTGTCCCAATCAGTTCAACACAAACTCAGCCATCTGATATCAAGTCCTTCTACAGTTTTAATTCAATCCAACACACGCTGGCCTTAGCTGGTGTTGTCTTGCACTCTACACCAAGCCACGAAAAGTGATCTGCTTATTTTTCACACAACACACGATATGCTTTTATATGTCCAAGCTTCGACACAGCTTTCTGTGTCCACCTGGACCTCTCCTCCCCACTGTCTCTATTATTCTCCGCCTCCCTTGACCCCTCCTGCCGTGACACCTTCTAGTGCTCAGCTTCTAACCCTTACATGATGGTGATTCTGCTCTTGTTTTATTCCCACACGGGATTCTGAATTCCACTGAAACAAAACACCAGGGCTGGAGCAGTGGCTCAGTCATTAACAGCACTTGCAGCCCTCACAGAGGCCCAAAGTTCAGTTCCCAGCACTGACGTTAGGTCGCTCACAACAGTCTCTAACTCTAGTCCCAGGGGATCTGACACCCTTTTCCGGCCTCCCTCAGCACCTGCATCCATACGTATACATACACTTAGGCCCACACACATACACATATTTTTTTTCTTAAAAAAAATCTTTTAAAGAAGTAAAATTTTAAAAACACATTTCCTGAGCCCTGGTACGAGCCTCTATGTGTGAGTGATTCACACAAACCGTCTAACTTGATCCTTAGATTTAACGTTACACGAAGGGCAGCTTGGAGAGAGCATACTAATGATGGCAGAATCAGGCCCCTCCCCAAGGTTAGGTTTATATTACTTGTTGTAGCCTGTACAACGGCCACCGCTTGCTCGGGATTCAATCTGTGCATGCCCCATCAGCATGCTAAAAAAACACGTATTTATGTAGATCAAGGTTCCGAGAAGGCTTGAATAGAGGGCCTGGACGGTAATGACAGGATGGCAAGATTGGTGAGGACGGTTTGAGAATTCCACTACTGAGCTTTAAACAAGCATTTAAAATGTATGGTTGCTAAACAGGATTGCATCTATTCTTTACCCTCCAGTTGGTGCCTGCCGTTTGTCTCTCTGATTTTATTGATCCCTGGGGATCACATTCATTCTTTTCTGCTTCCACAGCGTTGAACGAATTGCTCAACACAGAGTACGTACTTGTTGATTTTAACGTACGTGTGTTTGCATGTGTGCACAGCAACTGGGCAGAGGCCGTGGGTGTGGGATGCAGGGTACATTCCTTTTCCTCATTCTTTTTCCCTTAAGCAGCTGCAGCCCGCGGGCTTTCTTTCCAGCCTAGGCGGGGAGAAGCAGAACCACTGACCCTTTAACAAGTTGTCCCTCACAGAACAGGTGTCTCCCCCGCCTCTCCGAGGAGAGGGATGGCTGGCTGCTTAGTGACATCAGCCGCCAACCAATGAGAAGTCAGGCTTAGGCAGCCTCGCCAATGGCCGGCCAGGGGGCGGGCCAGATTGCCTGGGAGCCCGGCGGGCTAGGCTGCTCTGCGGCCGCGGTGGAGACTCCGCCGCTCACGCTGCCCGCCGCGACTCCAGCGGCGGCGCCGTTCCCCGGCCGCGCTGCTCCCCGACGCACGGCTCGGGCGGCTCCCGGTGCGGTGCGGCTATCCCGGCGTCCGGGTCCCCGTGGGCCCGCGGCTCACGTCCGGGGCTGCGGGGCACGCAGGTGGGCCGGCGGCCGCTGGGAGATAGGCCCCCGGGGGCAGCTGCGGACCATGGCGCGGAGACCTGGCGCGCCCGCTGCCTACGGGGAGGAGTTCTCCTTCGTCAGTCCGCTGGTGAAATACCTGCTCTTTTTCTTCAACATGCTCTTCTGGGTGAGGCTCGGGGGTCAAGGGGCACAAGGGCTGCAGGGCATCCCCGGAGCGCCAAAGGGGGGGCTGCCTGTGGCTGGGGGAGGGCCGACCTGGGCTGTCCGGTGCCCAGGAGCGTGGTGAGTGGTGCCGCCTAGTTTTCTGGGTTGGTGACACTTCGGGGGGCATGTCTCCTGGGGAGGAACACCACTGTGCCTTCGTGTCAGGAGGGGACGTTAGGAGGGGGCATCAGTCTTGTTGCCAGGGATGAAGGTTTAGCAGGGATGAGGATCTGTGTGAGGCCAGAAGAGATGTGTTTGGGAGAAAAGCTGCTTGGACAGCCCCATGGGCAGGTTTCATGGTTAGGGACTTTCAGGCCTGGGTGCTGGAAGGCCCGACTGCCAAAACAGGCAATGGGGGAGAGGGAGAGAGAAGGAAGGGAAACCCCAAGCCTTCCCTCCCCCGTTCCTCAGGGGGATGGGTCAAGGGGCTTTATCTCTCCCATTTGCAGGCCTCAGTGTCTGCTCCTGTCAAGGCTGTTTTAAAAGGGTTAAGAATGGCCTCTAGGTCCGATGTATATCCTGCTTATCCCAGAGTGGCCCTAAACTTTGCCCTACCTCCTCCAAGACCAGCTTTTCCTCTCTGAGCTGACAGCCTTCAGCTAATTTAAATAGGATCCTCTGTTGGGCTGGAAGGCTGGGAGCCCCTTCAGAATCTTCCGTTTGGGGGTGGGAAAAGTGTAAACAGTGTTGACCTAAGGCTCCAGACACCTGGGTTTCGGTCCCCAGTCTACAATCCTTGTTGATTTCACCGATCTGGGTAAATCCATTCAAGCCTGCAGGCCTTCCCTTCCTCCCCCCCAAAATTCCAATCCGGTGTGATGGGGAGGTGGCCGAAGCGGGCTGAGAATTCATGGGGAGCTCATCAGAAAATGTTAGCCGAGTCCTGTTTCACCGCTAGAGAGTGCTTGGGCCCCTCTGGAATTGATACCAGAGGGAAGTCCTTCCCCATCTCCCCATCCTCTGACAGCTCCTAGCACACCAGAGCTGCAGCCCCCCTAAGCCTATCATCCGTGCCTACCTCAGCCTGAGAGCAATAGTTCAGATTTGCGGGGCGGGAAGAACAGTGGGTCTAATCTGTTTCCTAGGAGAAGGAGCAGACCAGACATCTGAGCGGCTGCCAGAAAGGTTTCACAGGGGCCATGGTGTGAAGTGCAGAGACAGAGTACATAAGTGTTAGCCTGTTGGGACAAATGAGAGAAATCCCAGAGGGGGATGGTGACAGCTCACTCTCAGCCCGCATACTCTTGGGAAGACTGAAGTTTGGGCTTCTGTCAAATTCTCGGTTTTACAATTAGGATTTAAAAAAAAAAAAAAAAAAAAAAAAAACGTAGCAAGCATCCTGGTAGACTTCCACATTTTACCGGGGAGGAAGCGCAGTCGCAGCGATGGCCAGTGTCTTCACCAGGGTCCAGCAGCTGGTTAGCAGGCCTGGACTGGTGATTTGCTACGGAATCTGCATGCTTGTCAGGGAGGCCTGTGGCCCAGATGGCTGCTACTGTCGCCTATGGGGTAACCAGTCAACCGGAGTTCTCATGGCCTGGGTTCTGCTTTCCTGAGAGGTTTGCAAACAAGAAAGCCCCTCACCAGCACAGTTCAGGGCTGAAGGGTTATACTGATGGGGAACTCCACCTGCAGGGGTAAGTACCAGAGGCACCACTTTCAAGTGGGTCCTCCTTGGATGCCTCTCTCTGTGTCACCCTCAGGTCAGCAGCTGCCACTCGTGTCCTGGAACATTTTCTTGAACTGTTATGCTCTACTCTCTTTTATCAAACAAATAACTTTGGGGGTCACAGTCCAGCAGAGAGCCAGGCTCCTAGGCCCATTTACCTTGGTTAAAATGCTTCACGAAGGCATTCTGGCCATCCACTCACACGAGTGACGAAATGCTCCCTCACCTTGGGTAAACGTGACCCTGCCAAAAAACTAAATAAACTAAAATAAGATAATGCTTTGATTTCATTTAAAATTAGAGGCTATCCATGTTAGCACTACCCCCAGATTAGGGCAGAACCCCCTTTTGGCCTACTGCAGACACAAAAGGTTGGTGGCTCTGGAAATAGCATGTGGAAGAACAAGAGCCCCAGTTTCTTTCCGGCTCCTACTTACTGTGTGACGCTAAGCCAACATATCTGTCTCTCTGTCCTTAATCTTTCCCCTCTAAAGGAGGAATTTGTCTATTTCTGTGAGCTATGTATAGAAGAATAAATCACATTGGGAACCGCTTTCTCTCGTTAAGACCCGGGGCAGGATCTAAGCGTGAATCTCTCCGTGTCTTGGTCCCTGGGACATTGGCCTCCCTAAGGGAGGGTGAAAGGGGAGGTACTTTTCAGGCATTGCTGATGATCACTTCTCTCCCAGGCCCAGAGCCCCAGTTGTACCCCACACCCATGCAGCTGTCAGTGAAGGACAACTTCTCCAGCTCCGAGCTGGTCTTTGTTCCCGTCCGCTTAAGGAACTGGTATGCGATGTCCCTTGTAGGCTTCCCCTGTCCTAATCAAATTCCCCTTTTCTGCATGGAAAGCACCCATGGACGGGACAGTTGGGCCACTTTGCAGGCAGAGTACATGCATCTGGCCAGCTCCTGGGGAGCTATGTAGGGGTGCTGTTTGTATCTATGCCTGATACACATTAGGAAGGTGGCCAGCATCATCTGGGCTCACATTCAGGGATGGTGGTGGCAGGGGCCACCTCTACTGCTGCAGGAGCCCCGGCTCTCAGGGCATTTGGAGTCTGATTTGAAAGGCTGATGCCTCCTTTGGAATCAGAATCAGTCTCTTCTGTTTATGTTTCAAATCTCATTTCCTCTTTGGCCTGGAAGCTCTGGTTTTTCTCCCCAGAATCAGGTTGCTGGGCGACGGGTTGTTGGGTTTCCATGGCCTGAAGTAACTGCTCCAAGATCCTAGAAGTTGTATTAAAACTCTTTAGAAGTAACTGCCTTTCCCCACCTCCCCGTGTCGGTCACCTCTGTACAGAGTTAAGACCTGCTGCAGGGAGACAGCGTCTTAGCCTGGGCAGCACCAGCACAGCTCTGCTCCCTGCTGAGTGAGCAGTTGGGGTGCTCACTTGGTCCCTTCTTTTCCTCCCTCACTGCAGTCATGTGCTTATGTATCCCTCTCCCCATCTATACCCCAGGCTCCTGAGGGAAGAGACTGCTGAGTTCAATTCTGGATGTTTTGTTTTTGCTTTGATTTTTGTTGTTGTTGTTGTTTTGTATCTTTTGTTTCTTTGTTTTTGTTTTTGAGACAGGGTTTTGCCGTGTAACAGCCCTGGCTGTCCTGGAACTCACTCTGTAGACCAAGCTGGCTTCAAACTCACAGAGATCCTCCTGCCTCTGCCTCCCAAGTGCTGGGATTAAAGGTGTGTGCCAACAACACCACCCACCCAGCCAGTTCTGGATTCTTAGTACCTGTGGCAGGAGTAGAGGTTGATGGAATGTTTGTTGCCTGAGAGAGCAAAGCTTCGTCGATGGACACACAGTGTCCCTTCTCTCTCCCTCCCTCCTAGACTCGTTCTGTCTCCCTCATAGATTTACCTGCCTGACAGCTCTCCCTTGAGTTGGGTCAGACAAAAGTGACAGCCATGCCCATGGGTAGCTCCTTAGAGCCACATGTGGTTGCCACCCCCAGCATCTGGATTTCTTCTCTTTATCTGTGGCATATTTAGACCCCATCCGTATCTTCCACAGGCCAATCCCAGCCACTGGTGAGGACTCTTAAAAAAAATTAGAGTCAGGCAGTGGTGGTACACACCTTTAATCCCAGTATGTAGATAGATCTCTGTGAGTTTGAGACCAGCCTGTCAGAGTGAGTTTCATAACAGCCAGGGCTACATAGTGAAACCCTGTCTCGAAAAAACAAAAGAACAAAAAAAAAAAAAAAAAAAAAAAAAAAAAAAAAAAAAAAAAAAAAAAAAACTTACCTTTGTAAGCTCTCAAATTTGAAAAGAAGGCAGTATAGTGAGAGAGAACAGAGGAAGGTTAACACGCTTAATGCTCCAGACCATGGTCAATAGAATTGTAGTTCTATTGTAAGGATTGACCTAATACTACCTTGTTATCAAAATGCCATTTTGTACTATAGGGCAGCATAGCCATTACACAGCCTAGAGAAGGCTTAGGAAATCTGCATATATATATGCATGTTGTTTCAAAACCCCTTCGGAATAAATGTCATGATTTGGATGAAGAAGTAGCACCCATTATAATCCACTCCCTGACCATTATTTTTGGAGTCCTCCAGGCACTGAGAATCATCCCAGACCACCTGTGGCGATGTGACTTGCCTCAGAAGCCAGGAGGAGGTGACCAGACATCAAACCCATCAAAACCCTGTAGTCATGGAAGGGTCTTTCCATCTCTTCTGATACACTTTCCCACCTCCTCCTCTCCCCCACATTCATGAAGCCAGCGGGCTAGGGAGGCATCATAAATAAAGCAATCAGATTCTTGTTTTGTGTTTGAGACAGGCTGGCTCAAAGTCACTAGGTAGTCAAGTCTGACTTTGAATTTCTGATCCTCCTGCCTCTACCTCTTGAGTGCTGAGATTACAGACAAATTTGTACCACTGAGTCTAGCTTCTTTCTGATTTTTTTTCTTTTCTTTTTTGAGACACGGTTTCTCTATACAGTCCTGGAGGCTGTCCTGGCTACCTATTTTTTCTCTCTTCTCTCTTCTCTCTTCTCTCTCTCTCTCTCTCTCTCTCTCTCTCTCTCTCTCTCTCTCTCTCTCTGTGTGTGTGTGTGTGTGTGTACCTCAGGTATTTGTCTTCACCTTGTTTGAGACAGGGTCTCATGCTGCCTATTCTAGGATTCCTTGTCCCTGCCTCCCATCTCACAACAGGAGTTCTGAGATTGTAGACACTGTGCCCGCTAAGTCCAGCTTTTCACTTAGGTCTGGGGATTTGAACTCAGGTCTTTGTTCTGGGACTACAAGTCCTTTGCTCACTGAGCCATCTCTCCAGCTGC